GAACAGAGTATTTGGACAAGAGAAAGTGCAACCAGGAAAACAGCACCTCCCAGAGTGCTTGGAAGAGTTCCAATGATCACAGCACAGTGTACTGTGCTCTGATCTCCCCTTGGCAGTTTTCTCCAGCTGTGCATCCCTGGTCATAGGGGCAGATCATTCATCACTGCGTCAGCCCTCCAGTGCATTATAAGATGTTAGCTGCACACACAAATGTCTATTCACTAGATGAGAGCAGCATCCCCCACAGCTCAATTATGACGGGTAAAAATGTCTTCAGATATTACCAATAAGTCCCCTGGGAAGTAAATGACCTCATTAAAAACTCTGGTTTTAAGAGGACCCCAAGTGTCTCTTGGAGTTCTGAAGTTGCTCCAGCTCCTGAAACGAGTCTGAGGGTCAAATACTCAGCTCACTGCTGAGTATTTTGGCACACAAGGCTCCTTGTGCCACATTCATGCCAATGACTCCAAACTGCTCACAGAACAATCTTAGATCCTGAGTGTGACGATACTTTTGCTAAGTCAGCTAGAATCATCTAGGAGGCTTCCTCTGGATCATGCTCCTGTCTAACCATAGGGACCTTGCTTGTGGGAATCCACCATATTGTCTCACAGACTGATGTCCTGGCTTTGCCCTTCCTCTGCTCTCGTTCTTTTTGTCTGTGCCTAGTCCATTCTCTTCTACTGTCTTGTGGAAGAATTCATAGTCATCCTTCAAACTCCTGCCTCAGTCCTACCTCCTCCGTGAAGCCTTCCTGGGTTCCCCAGGCAGAATCAGACATTCCTTTCTAGACTCTCAGGGCAGTGTAACTTGGTTTCTCTGCTTCCTTAAGGAAGGTAATCTGTGGAGGTAGACAGTAAGTGCACTGGGCTAATGAGTAAATCTTGCTCAGTGTCCATGAAGCACATGTCTTTTCTTCTTCTGCTGCATTTTCTGAAATCCTCTGGCTTGAGGTCTTCTCTGGGGTGTCACTATAGCCCACCTTGCTTCAGTCCTTCCTCCACGCTGGCATTTCTCCTTAGTCATTTTATGCATTGAGCATCCACTGACAGCAGTGAAGGCAAAGGAAGCCTATCTGTTAACCAGGGCTGCTCAGGTTCCCCAGCTTGTTCCTCCTAAAGTTCCCGCAACATAGGAAAAATCACCTTCTTGATTCCTTCTTTCTTCCTTCTTTTTGGTTCTTCCTGTCTCTAAACTTCATCTAGCTGTAGCTATTCCTCACCACACTCAAGTGTGTCCTTTCTGAGGACCCTCTTGCTATGCATATTCAGCTCTGCAAGGGGCAAGTAGCAAAGGATACAACCCTTTTCTAGAAGGCAGTTTGTCATACACTGAATTCAGAAGGATAGAGCAGCCATATATGATAAAACTGGAACCTAAGAGAATCGGGGCAAGGCTTACAGAATTCTCTCCTTTTGGTGCCGTTTCCTAGATGTTCAATTCAATGTAAAACATTCCTTTTCCCAAGAATGGATAATTAACTCCTATCTTTGGAAGTGCTACTACAAATTCTGGAGACTCCGTTCCATCTGGAAACATCCTCTGATGGTCAACCAGAATCTTCCTGTCTCTGTGACCTGACCATCCCACATAGAACTCAGAGCACTCCATCTATCCTGTATTTTTACTTATTTACACTTTTTTCATCCTATTTAGTTATCATACTAATGTGGAAAGTAGAAACTAGTTTTTTTATTTTAGATGAGGAAATCCAAGACTATAAAATTAAAATGTCTTATGTGCCTCTTATGATTCCTATTCCAGCTTTTCTGAAGGCTAAGTCCTTGCAGCATCCATAAAACCATGCAAGGATTTAAAAATAAATGTAACTGATTATATGTATTTCTATTTAATGAGTAATGACTGCTTTCCTGTGTCCCACTGATCTCCCTCGCCCCTGACACACACACTAGGATTTTCACCTCCTTTGGGTCAGTGTCTGGTTCCTTTCCTTTCTACTCCTCTCATCTTTCTGAGTGACCTGAGATGAATGATCAGTAAATATTTGTGTACCTAATTTGAGTATTTCCGTTAGTCATGCAACCAAGATTCATATGCACAGTAGAAATAATTGTCTTAATTAGATAAGTACAAACAAGGTGATTTGCAGGTGAGGAAAGGGTTCTGCAGCCCTACAACAGTGTTTCTTCCAAAGTAAAACAAGTTAGGACAATTTCCCCCACCAAAACTGAAATGTATCCGTGATTTCATGGATGCTTTGGGTGTCTTTTACCCATGGTTCTTCTTTTTACATCACCAATTTCCTTTCCTTTCCCATGAGAGAGGATATCCTTACGTGTTTTCTAATTTAGGTCCATGAGCTCATCTCCCTTGGGCATTCTCTGCAGGAATTCATTCAACTTTGGTTGAGAGACTCTACATCAAACCTTTACACTAACTTTGGGCAGATGTTGCAAGGCCAGTGCTAGTAAAATAAATATTAACTCCTCAGATCAGTACAAATTTTAACTTGAAACCCACTTTTAAATTGTCAAAAGGGGCTGGAAAGATGGTTCAACAGTTAAGATGTGTTTACTACTTTTGCAGAGGACCTAGGTTCAGTCACTAGCACCCACATGGCAGCACACAACCATCTGTAAGGAGCCACCTACTGTTTCAGGGGACCTGACAACCTCTTCTGGCCTCTGCAGGCACCAGGCATACAGCATGGTACACATACATACATGCAGACAAAACACTCACACACATAAAATATAAATAAATAAATCTTCTAAAAAGTAATGTCAGGGAGAGTTTCCTTTCATTTACTGACTAGGCTGAGCTACTGAACATTTTCTTATCCTATCTTCTTATGAGGGAAACAGACTTTTGAGTCCCTGCAAGGACTTGGTTCCAGTTTTCCATCCCTTTTGAAACTAAGGCCTTTCCCCAGTTCCTATAGCATTATTTGAACAGCAGTCCTTTAATTATGACTTTAAGCCAATTTTTCCATCCCCATCCCTGGCCACCTTCAGCCATAGCTCTTGTTTGGAGTTCTGAGTGGCCTCAGCTTGCCTGCTGGGAATATCCTCTTCTTTTGAGCTTTAAAAGAAAGTTTGTTGGCTATGTGCCATTTTTCAGATCAGCCCAGGAAACACCTGCATCCCACGCAGGACTTCTGCCTGTGCTTTGTGAATGTCTTTGTCTCCAAGCCATTGAGCTCTGCATCGCCTTGAGTTCTGACTTCAGGTCATGGAAGTGAAGCTAAGCCAGGGGTTAATATCACACAGACTTTCAAAGACAGAACCATTCATGCCAGGTGAACCAAATTGGTAGTTTCTGGGTGGTCAAAGCTGCAGCTCTAAACTTCCCATGTAGTTAAAAGTCATTCTTAGCACATTCATCCTTTTAAGTGAAGTTCTTGTTTGGGGAGTTTGTGATCTTCAAAAGCTTTAAGCTTAGACTGAACTCAAGAGTCAGCAGCCAAATAACATTCCTTGGTGACTTTACATGGAAGACAACAAATGTTTCTAAGACTTACTGTGGTACATTTTGAAGTTTATGCTTCATGGTTTTAAAATGAACTTGATTATTCTTTTGGAAACAACATTGGGCTAATTTCAGGGTTAGTAAAATGTATTTACTAAGGAACCATTATAAGAGAATGCATGCCATGTTTTAGAAACTGTGTATCAAGCATCCTGCTTGATATAACATGTATTTGCTATTAAATATTCCATTCAGCATTTTTATGTGTTTTATAGAGGGTGGATTACCATAAAGTCACCTTATCACAACATATTCTGCCACTGTGCTTCTACCAGAGTATAAACCCTTGGGACAGAGGTAACATTTATCTAACCAATGACTGCTTCTCAGTAGTGTGGTCAGTTCCTGAAATATACTCAGAGTCAATAAATGTCAAGTGAGTGAATGAGCAAATTAGAAGCAGAAGACAGAGTTATCCCTGCTAGGAAGTTCAGTGTTGTAGAGTGGTAAGGCTCACACACTCACATACACACTTCACATCCATCCACCCCTGTCTAACATCACTTGGGGATTAAGACTGAGTTAACCTGTATCCTTGCCTACACAGATGTCAGGATACCATTTCATGGTTTCTTCCAGGGTCACCTGGATTTTATCATATATCAAACTGTATGTTATTTTATCTACATAAAATGTCACATGAATGTGTGCATTGTGACCCTCTTACTAATGAACATTCCACCAGACCCCTTGCCTGCAGCATGGATTCCTTCTTCTCCCTCAGCTGGGAAGTCAATGCCTTCTATGATTAGTCCTCTGTTACTTTATAGCTTCTTCTTCCCCTGGGCTCTTCTGAGTCATGCTGTTTTAACCACAGTGCAATCAGCTTCCTTCATCAAACTTCCATGCGTCTCACTTTTGCCTATCTCTGTTCTCAAGACACTGCTCTTACACCTCAAAATTGGGCACAGATTAAAATGCCACCTCATCCAGAAAGGCTCCTCCTATCTTTCTTTACCAGTGCCCCAGTGTTGCTGTTGCTATGATTATTTGGAACTGTACATGGGGCAGCCGTGCTGGTTAGATTTATTGGCAACTTGACACAACCTATATCACCTGGGAAGAGGGAGTCTCAGTGAAGTATTGTCTAGATCAGGTTGGCCTGTGGGTGTATCTGTGGGGGATTGTTTTGATTGTTAATTGATCTAGCCCAACCCCATGGTAGGCTACACCATTTCCTAGCCAGGGGTTTCTGAACAATGTAAGAACGAAAGACTGGCTGAGCAGAGGCAGCAGGCAGCATGGGTGTGTTCATTTCTCTCTGCTCTTGACTGTGGACACACTGTGACTAGCTACTTGAGTTCCTGCCTTGACTTCCCAGAAATGACGGCCTGTAACCTGGGCCTGTAAGCCAAATAAATCCTTCCTCGCCCTAAGTTGCTTTTGATTATGGTGTTTTGACACAGCAACAGAAATGAAGCTAGAGCAGCATGACTGGACATGTGCATGTCCATGAACACACATGTACGCGCGCACACACACACACACACTAAACCTTTCTGCTTTTCCAGGAGGTGATCGTGACTGCTCTCTGAGTGATGGACTGGTGTCACAGACGCCAATTACAGACACTCCAGAAGCCACTTCCTCTGTCCATGTCTTGCATCAGCCTCTCAGCGAAAGCTCCCAGCATTCCTCCCTTCAGTCCCAGATGAAAGAATCCGAACATTTCCAAGAGAATGTTTTGGTGCATTCAAGTGAGTTCTTTTCCATCTTTGCCACACCCAAAGAATTCTTCCTTCTTGGGATCTGAGTGTGATGTAGCAATGACTAATGTGCATTTAGAAACCGGTATCAACCTGTTTGATGGGGAGAGGACCCAGGCCTCTGCTGATGTCTGGATGATGCAGAGGAAGTGACTACCTTTGGGTGTCACCATAAAGTTCCCAGCAGTAGTGGACATACAGTGCTTTATTTTTCAAAAATCTTGACACCCGGAGGCTGGAGAGATGGCTCAGCAATCAAGAGCACTGGCTGCTCTTGCAGAGGACTTGTATTCCATTGCCAGTACCCAGATGGCAACTAACAACTGTCCTTGGCTCCAGTTCCAGGGGCTCCAACACCCTCTTCAGACCTCCATGGGTATTGTACAGCATGGGTGCACTTACACATATTCAGGCAATACACTTATGCACATAAAATAAAAATAATAAAATCTTTAAAAATTTTTGACACCTGTTAAAACATCAGGCGGTAACAAAGCTGGGGGTAAAGAATGCAGGTCTCTGTTATTTGCTTCTTTATATTTAGCTGTGTATTTGACACACTCCATAAGGAGAGAAAACAAAAGAAGGAAAAAGAATCAAACCGCATCTTTTAATGGTATGCCCCCAGGAAGGAAAATGATAAAGTGTTACATTTCCTGTCAGGACTGATGAAAGAAGCTCATCTGAGGGTCGCTGACTCTGGTTTGCCAGCAGCAAACTAATTGCCGTTGCTCATGGTAGCACATGGAGGGAAGAACTGAGCAGGCTCTGTTGTAGCTTTGCAAAGATTTCAAACACTCCTCCCTCACTCACTAGCCACAACTCTAAGAACCAGTCACCACAATAAAAATGTGTGCTAGACTCTCTGAGCAGGTTGCCAAGCTCTAAAACTCAACATTTGCATCTGTGCCTAGAGATAATCCTACTTCTTACCTTGCGATGAGGAAAATCATCCAGGTTTAAAGGATTTAGCATACTCTCTCCCACCTACATGAATACTCAACAAATGAGGTTATTACTGCAGGAGGCCGAGGTCCGAGTGGAAAATGATCTGTCTGTGTCTTTATAAACCGTGAATAGTGTTCCACTGAGCATACTTTCTACTTCTAAATACACACTCATATGCCTGTGCGCTGTGTTCCCACTGCAGCCGCACTTAAGTGCTAAAGGGTTTTGCAATGACAAAAGACATCTTTTGTTGTGTGGATAATCACCAGGCCATCAATATCTATTGAGGCTGAAGAGCCACCTCCTCCAGGGAGCCCACCCATACCATGCTTCTCTGGCTCCCAGAGCTCCTCTCTTTCAGGTCCATTATCTGCACTGCTGCTGAATTCTTACCTGTGTTTCTTCATCAGATTCTAAACTCCTAAGGATGGGCATTAGGTCATGGTCATTCTTGGCTCCTGAACTACTATACAGTGTCTGAGGTAGGGCAATTACCCTCTCAGTGTAGTGGACTAATTTATAAGTGTGCTGGCTTCCTTTTACAAATAAGAATACTGATATTCTAACCAATGAAATAAGCCTGTATGTTCTTTGTGGAGAGTTTGGCAGGACAAACATATATGGTTCCTGTGTCTGGGATGTCTGTCCTATATGCTCTATCTGGATGGCCTTTACTGCCCTTCAAGGTCCACTCTAAATGAGACTACCTCTGCGGAGCCGTCTCTGCCCCCTTCCAGTTGATGGAGGGAGCACTTTATTGTCCTGTGATTTCAGGGCACTCTGCATGGTTGCCTCCATTGAAATATTCATTTCTCTCTCATTAGACTCTGACAGCCTCCTTTCTGTACTCCATGTGTAGGCTCTGAGTGTACATTCTGTTCCAGGTGACACTGCAGATGCTGAGAACACAGGCATGTGTGCCATAAGTCGTATCAATCAGGTCTTTTGAGCACCAGTGGATGAAACTGAAGTTACAGTGATAGAACTGACAGGCATGCCGAGGATAATCCAAGCCCAGAGCTCGGCATTCTGCCACTCTCTGTCTCCCTGGCAGCTCTTCTTTTCTGTGTTGGACTGCTCCTCAGAGCCCACCTTCCTCTGGTGGCTCCTGGTGACGCTGCACACAACCTTTAAGATTTAAGTTTAGCAGGAAGTGGTTTTATTCTTTTAGAGTCACGATAAGAAAGCCAGTAATGTTACATTAGTTCTGGAAGGATTCCACATACATGACAAAAACAATTACTTCTTTGATAAATATGTGACATTCTAAAAAGCTTTGAATGGGTTAAATGCTGCAATGGAAATCAAAGAGATCAGCTGTTCCACCTAAGGAACAGGAAAAGTGATTCCCTGCCAAGATCATGGTGTTGCCTCCAAAGCCAGGAAATAAATACTCACTGCTCTCAACAGTGTGTGGCACAGTGCATGTGTGGAAGTGGAGTAGAGAAACGAGACAGAAATCTTCATTAAATATGAAAAAGGTGTTAAAGAAAACAGAAGGTAGTAAAATGGGAAGACAGAGATGGAGAAGCTAGAGCTTGGGGACAGGGGTAGAGTGGGCGTGGCAATTGAAGAATCAAGGCTGGCTACATGACGGAGGCTCTGCTTGACCTAAGCCCAAACAGGTACCAAGTAAATGGTTACTGAAGGGACCAATGAACAACAGGTCTAAAATCACACAAGTCATGCCTTTTAAAAAAATATTTTATTTATTATTTTTATTTTATGTGTATGAGTATATTGCCCACATGTATGTAAGTGTACCTGTTTTGCAAAGCCTGAGGAGGTCAGAAGGTGTTGGATCCTCTGGAACTGGAGTTACAGATGGTTGTTAGCCGCCATGTGGGTGCTGGGAAC